TTGTCGACATACTGTACATCTGAAACAATTCACATGGTACTGTAAGCCAAAGCATCCGAACTGCTCAGCTCGGTATACGGTATTGCTGCATATGGCACATTTCGGCTGTGGACGCATCACGAAGCGCTAGAAAACACACGAGATCATGCTTGTTAGAGCAAATCAATCAAACATGTTAAGTCTCAATCAATTATCGATTGGGGATATATAGTAGTCGTCAGGTTCAAGCTGATTCTTAGCTGCGTCGGCTATTCCCGAAACAATCGATTAATCGATCGACCGCGACGTGCGGCACAATTCTATCGGTGTTAAGGGCTATGAAAGGCAAAGGTTCAATTCTTGAAAGGTTAGAAGAATGTCAGAACAAAAATCCAGATTTCAGTCAATGAAAGTTTTTTGGAAACAAAGTGCCCTAGTGCAGCAGTGTCGCCACGGCGCGGGCTGCCCTCCCTGGCTCACCCCTAGAGCTTTCCCCGAAGTAGTGACAGCCAGTTTGCCCTGGCCCACAGTTACATTGCAGCCCTTGCAAATGCCACCTTCTCCTTCAAAATTTTGTACAGTCATTTCCAATAAAGGCCGTCGGGGCGTGTCACTAAAGCCCGTCGGAGCGCGCCAATGGCCACTGATTCGGTGCGGCGCCAGCCCGTTCCCATCGATCGTGCGATTCGGGCGTTCAATGAACGGTGAAGGGGCTGGCTGTCGCTGGCACGCCCCGACTCACTTCACTGAAAATGACTGTATCTGCTTTGGTCGAAGCTCGATTTAGCTTCATGGAAACGACAATCACAGCATCTCTGAGTCAATGGTTAGTGAGTAGATCAAGCACTCTCAAACGGTTAGTAGGTTATTCACGCTTCGCACCGCACACTTCGGTAACCGTGTGTGTACAGCGAATGACGTTGATAACCTTTATTGCTGATGAAATACGTCAATAAAATAATAAGAAGACGTCAGCCGGTGGCAAATCTACATACAGAAACGACAAACGATGAAAAAGAACCCCGTCACGACTCCGAGGACTAGTACAGTAAGAAAGCAACAAGAAAGACGCCAACGTTAAAAGGCGACGAGAGAGTAGAGGACAAAGACGCCGAGTGCGCCGGGCCTTAAAGGAGGGAGTCGTGACCATACACGGATCATGAGGAAGCAACGATTGTAGGAGAGTTATAGATGGTTGTGTGGCACGGGTTTTTAGGTGAAGTGCAGGTGCAGCGGTTGTGCGATACGCTCATTGGTCCTGCAACGAATCATCGATCGAATAAAGTAGTTAAGAATACGGTATTAGCGAATCGGATTAGACTTGCCACCTTTGACATACGGCGAATAAAGTGATTGAAGCTTAAAGCTCAGATTAAAGCAGTCAGAAGTTGAAAGCACAATAAATATTAAATATAATATGATTTTACAAGTACTCCTAAGCGAGTCTATGACATTCCTATGAAGCTATAAGTAGATTAGATGATTAGATAACTATTGGCGTGTGAGAGCCGATAATTGGTGCCAGTATTGTTGTGCTACACAAAACACTACTAACGCGAAGCACAAAACGGTCGCAGCCAGCTGAAATATTGCAGTAAGTTGTTCTAAGCTGTCCAGAAGCATCTATTAAAGTATTGATTAATTCCAAACACATCATTAGATGGTTTTTCTAAGTTGTAAGGTTTCCACTACATCACACTATTCCGACAATGGAGTTCAAAATCTCATTAGCTGTTACTAAGCTTGGTTGGAGGCGGGTCAGAAGGTCCGAGTTGAGGCGGCATAGCGAAAGCGGCCTCGCATATTGTCGCGTGCGCTGCATATGCATCGCGTGCAGGAGGGAGTATGAATGAATGTCAATAAGCGTAAACGTCGGTGGGTGCCGCTTGGCCCTGATGAACGCTTCCCAGTGAGCAGGGTCTACCTGACCGATATTGAGCGCCCAATGGTTATCAGTATTTAGATGGAGTGAGTATTCATGAGAGTGCGTTCACACTTCCAGACTTGGCGGTGCGATTGGAGCGTCCTTCGGTGACAGAGCCCGCGCTCACCCCTATTCATTTCTTCCTTGCCCAAGCAGTCGGGTTCGTAATCGCGAAAAGAATGTCCCGATTCCGTGGCTTTACCATCAGAATGTCCCGATTCCGTGGCTTTACCATCAGTGACGAGGCGCTGCAGCTACCATAATACCTTGCAGTTCTACCTGGTATATCGTTTGCGATTATGATTACGCCCCAGAATCCTCGGGAAAGGGAGGAATTCTACGAATTGATAAAGCGCGGAAGTCTGTCTTTAGAGCCGGTCGCGAGCCTCGCGCATCTCACCCGATTGGAGCCATCCGCGCACGCGGCACTAACAGATCGCTTTGATCGCGCACACCCGAACCGTTCGCACAGTCGCTCCACCAATTTCCGAAGTATGAACACACTCCGACCACCTTCCATTTTCTGCTGTTTACTAACATGTCATGCGCTGTGAACTACGGCGGTGCAGAGGAGGGAACACAGGATTCCAGGTAGCCGGGGACGGCTTGCAGCAGCTCATAACGCGACTGTTTCAGCGCTTTACTCATGCTTTTTCGTTTCTTCCACTAAAGGAGGGTAGTGAAATTCAAGTGCGAGCAGCAGATTCAGTGTAAACTCCCTAGGAGGGAATAGTTCATGGAGTAGACAAATTGGACAAAACGGATGTGGTGGACTAGTCATACTCTGGGCAATTACCGTATCTCTGCAGATACTGCAGCCAATGTGACGATGTCACTGCTTAATCCGCCGCACGCACCATATGTGCGATTCTTTAGCCCAGCTCTCTTTTTTATCATATTCCGTTGCCTCAGTATGAGTACCAGACCACACACGCACGCAGCCGCCCAGGAAGGTAATTCCAGTGAATAGTTGAGGGCTATCTAGATAAAGAATAGATAGTTTATTGAATACTGTGAGAAGAATCCCGTCCCGTTTGGTTGATCAGCCGCGCGCCACACTCCATTTGTCGCTTTCGAACGGGGACTGTGCGCGGACATGGCTGTAGGCCCGGCGACGGTATACAGTTGTCGGTCCAGGCAAAGGCATTGGAAGTGCACTCACGTTCCTAGTGCCGCCCCGTCCGCCCCGTTGTCTTATATCTAGGTTTTTGCCTGGGTTACACCTGAGTATCCACTGCGACTGTAGCCAGGGATTTCGGAGAGGATTTAGCGTCGTGCCAACTATTAGGTTGTCCGGAAAGTTCTCAGCGTTTTGGGTGTTTCACTTTAAACGATCGTAACTTTTTTAATACTCATCGGATTTAATCGAAATAGGCACCATTCGAATCAGCACACTTTTGCCAATGTGACAGCAGTCGAGAAATCCCATCAAAGTAAAAAACTGGGTGGTCGAAAATTCACGAAATCCACTAAGGCTTTTTTGCCTGGTCCTGATTGATGAAGTATTTTCCAGCAAGGGAGTTCTGAAAATGTTAGAAAAGGTGATAGTCGGTTGGCGAAAGGTCTGAAGAATATGGCGGTTGAGGTAGAACTTCAACCCCCAATTCGTTCAATTTATGGATAGTGATTTGTGAAACGTGTGGGCGGGCGTTGTCATGCAAAGGAATCGGACCCTTTCTTTTGATAAGTGTTGGCTGCATCTGACAAAATTTTCGGTACAATTCGTCGATTTCTTCACAGTAGGGTTCTGCTGTGATGGTTTGGCCTGGTGATAAAAAGTTATAGTGGATCACACCAGCCGATGACCACCAAGCCGTGACCAGAATCTTTTTTCGTGAGGGTTCGGCTTTGAAAATTACCTCGGTGGTTCGTCGAAATCCAACCACTGTCCGGAACGTCTCCTGTTATCATACATGACCCATTTTTCATCACAGGTGACAATTCGGTCGAAATCCAACCACTGTCCGGAACGTCTCCTGTTATCATACATGACCCATTTTTCATCACAGGTGACAATTCGGCCCAAAAACAGGTCGTTTCTGCTGCGCAAAAGCAATGCAGAAGGAACCTCGAGACGTGCCGATTCCTGCCGGTCACTCCGATTGTGGGGCACCCAATTGTCGAGTTTTTTCACCTTCCCAATGCGTTCCAGACCATCTGCAACAGTGGATTTGCCAACGCCTAGCTCTTCTGCTATCTCTCGAACTGTTTGGGATGGGTCAGCCCCCTAAAATCCTCGTCAGATATTGCTTTAGGTCGACCGCTATGAGGTTCATCTTCAAGGCTGAAATCTCCAGAACGAAATTTGTTGAGCCATTGCCGCACAGTGCTTTCTCTAGCACTATTGGGCCCCCACACCTGGTTAATTTGTTGAGCTGTTTCGATTGCGGATTGCCCCAATTTATAGTCGAAGAAAAAAATCGTCCGAAGTGCTCTTTTCACATGCTTGAAAAAATCTTGAAAAAAGGGGTTTATCAAGCAATGGTGAAACGGCAATTATACCATCAGATAGCGCAAGAAATTCTCTACAGGATGTGCTACTGAGAAGCAAGGCAGAATGAGTTTTTAATCAGCAGTGAATGTACAAAAAATAGGTGCACAAAACGCTGAGAACTTTCCGGACAACCTAATATAAGGAAAGGAGCCCTTCGTCTTTGAATACCGTATTCCTTTCCTACCAGTTGCAGGAAGGGATATTATTTGCCGCAATCTAGCACAAAGTTGACTCTTCCCTTCAGTCGTCAAAGCGTGTCGGAGCGAATCAGAGCAACTAGTATTGAAAGATGTTAATACTGGCTATTTATTACAGCAAGCTACTTTAATTCCTCAGTAATTCTGATCATGGGGTTTCGCGGCTTTCGGTCAAAGGCACATTCCGTAGTGATCGTAGAGTCGCTTGAACCACTGCGGACTTCTCGTTGGTGAGTCAGTACATATTTCATGATAAAAAAGAAGAGATGCTCAGAAAAAAGCCACGGGGCTCGAAGGGTCCACACGATCAGAGTAGAATGTAACTTTAATGTTGGTTATAATAGTGGCTACATATTAGATCTACGCACACTACAAACTACTTTATTATGAGCTACAGTTCTTATACTTACGAACTACTTGGACGGTACCACTCCTTATGATTGCTATAAAACAGATTGAAAAGATCGCTTGAAATTTCCTTAATGTGCCGACAAAATAAAGTGAAATCGAAAAGGTGATGGACTGATACATTGAAAAAGACCTAATAAGGGGCGCTCTAGAAATTGAAAAGTTTACTCACCGCCACCTTTTTCTCGGGCATACGACTCTTTTCGGCTTTCTTTGCCTCTTTGGCTTGGATCTTCTCCCATTTTGCAGCCATTTTTGCGGCATGTTCGGCCTAAACGTAAGAACATATTGACGTCAAGCTCTGACCACAAGTTCAGAGTAATTCGGCCAATATGAGCTGAGAAGAACGAGTTTTACCTTGATATTGATGTCATCCTTCTCAACTTCCTTGGGCTCTTCCATGGCTCGCTCTTCCTCGAGTCGCCGTTGGGCCTCTTCTCGTTCCTCTGAACAGGTTACCCGTTACTTGTTAAACTTGCCTTGCACGATGCGCTTCACCGAAAGATTTGAACTCACTCTTTAGCCGCTCGAATTCTTCCTGCATCTGCCGTCGTTTCTCCTCGGCCAAGTCCGCATCATCATCGATGCCTTCCTCAAATCGCTGCTTCAAACTCTTTGCCTCGGTTTTCAGAGCTTCCAGCTCGGCTCGTTGCTCTCTGGACATGAGGAATGAACTGCTAACCAATAGCATTCATCAATTCAAAAAAATGGTCAATGCTTACGGGTTGAGAGCCGTCGTGGTCTCGGCTTCAGCAATATGCTTGAATTTGTTCATGAGATTCTTGACATCGAAGGCATCTTCACCCTCATCATCATCAACTGCAACCAGTAATCAATATATCAAAGTATCTCATCACCAAAATTTTTTTGTTATTGTAACTGATTAATGCAGACAAGAGGAACTGCCATTTGAACTCGCTGCATGTCTTGTTATCAGGAGCAGGAAAGGAGAGGCGTGGCGATCTCGTTAGAGGCGAATCCAACCCTCCCATACCAGCCCTCCCGTTCCCGTGACCGTCCGATCTTTCCACTGCGAAAATTGCGGCCAAGAAGAAACCCGTAAGGAAGGTTGAAAAAGGGAGTGGAGTTGTTACTCCTAGAAGAGTTGTTAGGGAGGCGTATAAGTGTGAAGGAAGTTGAGGTTGGGCGACATAATTCCTCATTATCATGGCGTGTTCTGGTCAGAGGATAGAGGGATACAGGATGACGCATCGTTCAGCGAATTTCGTGAGCCCCATCAGGAGGGTTTTACTAGGTCTCTAAGGTAGGAGTTGTGTCCCGCCACGAGAGAAATTTGACCGATTGTATTACATTTCATTCATGCTACATACTGCCTCTAAGTGACGGCCCGTCAAAACTGCTATACAGTTGGTGGGACATACAGTCTTATTCGCTGCGGATGCTGGAGCGTTTCACGGGCTAATTGGCCGCGCGCCAAGAGTTTCAAATGGGTTACGGGGCACAACGTTCAACTCAAGACGTGCTCTCGCCCTGCGAGGATCAGGAGGCTATTTTCTCGGGGCATGTCAATAACTGCTGGTGGAAAACAAACAAATGGGAGCGCACGCGACAATCCGGCCTCTTGCAGGGAAAACTGAGCACACTCGCCGCAGCCCCTCCCCCACCCGTACCACAGTCTGAACGCGAAATTTTTTTGCAAGTAATATGGTAAGGAAGGAGGTGGCTTATTAGGTTGGACCGCACTGGAAGAGGGAATCCGGCTAGGGTTTTGTGCTGAAATCACTATTTCATCTTCCACATTGGTATACCCTGTCGCGATATCGCCCTGGTGAAAATAAACCCTCACGCCGTCTGTTCGGCAACTTTAAGTGACTGATACCATTTTTCAACAACTACGCAGTGACGAGGAAATGATCAAATATGCACTCACAATCGTCAACGGCTCTCCTGTTGATGATTTCGGCGGCAGGTCGGTCCTCTTTCTTGTCCCATTTGCTGGGTTCTGCCTGAAAAGAAGTCAATTTGAATTAAACCTAGGCTTGGGGTTCGTGCATGTTTTCTAGAAGCGGGCTCATCCAGCGGATCCCGTATGTTTGCGTACTGGCCCAGAACGGGGAACATACTGCTCTATCCCTTTGCTGACGGAACTTTTTCCTTTTCATCCCGTATCCTTTTTTTGGTTCCGATTTTTCTGTTTCCGTAGGGTTCACCTTCTGCGCAATCGATTCTGTCAATACTCTGGTCTCTCTGATGGTCTTTTTTCAATGCTTCTATTCTTTCTTAGATCCCAACTGGCTTACATTCACTTCTCTATATCTTTATCCTCAAATCGTTTGCTGCAGTAATCATTTGAAAGGCATACGGCAGAGTTTTTACAAAAGCACGACCGATCTACGGTTGTTCAATCTTTCAATTTTGACTTTCTCAGAAGCTCCCCATTAGAGTCACAACCTGCATTGGCCGTCAAGTGGGCGCAGCCAAGCGTGAGAGTTGCCTTCTTTATTGTTGCGCCCTTGCTCCCTTACTGAACGGTAAAGAGGTGCGCGCCAATGAAGAAAACACCATGGTCTGCATGACTCCGCCCATATGCCGTGCGTGGAGAGGCATTTTTCATTCACACCAAAATGTTATGCATGAAAAAGACCCGAAGACGTTGATAAGTAACTTCAATACTAGAGAGTAACAAGGCGAGAACAGATTAGGGTATCCGCTACCGAAAAGACGGCCACCCTTCGAAGAGTTTGCTTTGTTGGAAACCAGAGTAAAAGAGGAGTTCCCCAAAGAAAAAAAATTGTTGTAATGTAGCGCATAATTTGATAAATTACTTTTACCGAAATCTTCTTCCAGAAGAGGGTGTGATAAAAGGGTTAAATTAATACATTTCAATAGAAAATCGCAACACACCTTTCTGCCTTGATTGGGCATCACCGGAGCAGCACCGGAAGCGTCGATCTGCATGAACTTCTCCCTGGCTTTACCAGCCATTTTGATTTCAACATCGACATTCTTTCCTGAAATTCATCGACATTTTTATTGTTACTACAAAGCTCAAAATTTGTGACTTGTTTACTTTAACTAATATTTAAATCAAAGTAAACATATCGTCACTTACCGTCCACTTCTGCGCTCTTGAATGCTTCTCCTTTATCGAAGCGATCTTTGATGGAGCCAACGTCTGCAGCGCCTTCTTCTCCTCCCTCTTCAGCCTAAAGCAACGGAAATACAGTACTGCTTTCATAAGTTCTACCTGCTTTTCGCATAAGCAAGCACTCGAACCTGTTGCTTGGCTCGCTCGGCAGCTGCTCGCCTTGCCATTTTGTACCTGAGGAACTCGGCTTCGATCTCCTTTTTCTTCAAAGCGGCACGTTCTTCTGGCGACATCTCTTCCTCTCCCTGGAAGTACTTAAGAAGATAATGTTGCTACCTTTGAGCGCCTTTTACGTCCACAAGTAGAAATGAAAAGCTAAAGTGCTGCACTCAGATTCCACTGTAATGAGCTGTTACTGCCAACTCTTCTCAGAGTTACCAGAATGCAGCAGTGAAGGAAGACAGAAAATCATACTACGTTAATTCTTTTGCTACATAGTTAACCGACAGGTCTCAACTTCGATGACTAGGGAAGTCTTGTGAAGCTACCAAGTGGTAGAAAAGAGCTAGTTTGAATACAAATTCAGAGGTCCTCACAAATTGGCTCCTACAAACTCTATCAAGGGCCCCCTAAGCAGCCGACCTGCGCCAGAACAACCAAACTGAGCCAGGCAGAAAGGGTCTCACCAGACTTTTATGAGCCTTGTCCTAATTCTCATCTCTCACGAACAACAAAACATCGAATTTTCTGACTGGTATGCAAAAATTCGTAGTTTGACGCTCACACTAGCACTTTATTATTCAATTGTAGAACTTATTTTGTGTTTAATACTATAAGCTGCAGAATTACACAAAGTTGTCCGGCAAGTTGGCAGGAATGGACCAAATGTCTCCACCCCTCCCTGAACCTAACGGTGACAAAAAAGATGCGAAAATATGAAATGAGGAGAGATGTCTGAAGTTCTAGAAATCCAATTGGTTTTGTCCAGTTTATGAAGAAACGAACGTTGTTGTCCGTGAAAAACCAGTGCACTTGACATGGATAGCTCTACGAACCAGACCATCATCTCAAGCTTTCTACTTAGGCATTGAATGTGAACAACGATGGCTGCGAATCCGGAAACAGATTAGCAGCTGTGGTTTGACTATTCTTTATACATAGTGTTGTGAAATGGAAGCAAGTACGGTACCTGAACTCACCACAAAAGAAATTTTCAAAAAATGCAGTTTTCGGATTCTTCCGAGTCTTTTGCCTTTTGCAGCATATCTAGGTACATCTCTCGTGTTACACGACATCATGATCCAAATAGCTCCAGGTTCGCGCTTTCCAGTACGTATATTCCATATCCTGACAGTGGGGAGGGCTGGTCAGGCCACTTCATTACGCGCCGGCAGCGTTTCTGGTGGGATATTTTCGTCTAGAGCAACTGGTCCTGTCTATTGCCA